CAGGGGGGGACACGGACGGACACACGGACGGAGCGGGACACACGGACAGACACGGATGGACCGGGACCCACAGGACACACGGACAGAGACACGGACGGACCCACAGATGGGGCCCACAGATGGACCGACAGAGAGAGCCACGGACAGAGAAACCGATGGACCCACGGACAGAGACACAGACGGACCCACGGACAGAGACACGGACGGACCCACGGACAGACCGGGACCCACAGGACTCACGGACAGACCGACGGACAGACAAGGACCCCACGGACAGAGACACGGACGGACCCACGGACAGACACGGACGGACCCACGGACAGAGAATCCGATCGACCCATGGACAGAGACACGGATGGACCGACGGACAGACTGGGACCCACGGACAGACACGGACGGACCCACGGATGGAGCGGGACCCACGGACAGAGACGTGGATGGACCCACGGACAGACCGGGACCCAAGGACAGACATGGATGGACCCACGGACAGACTGGGACCCACGGGACCCATGGACAGACCGACGGACAGACCAGGACCCCACGGACAGAGCGGGACACACGGACAGAGACACAGATGGACCCACGGACGGAGTGGGACACACGGACAGACACAGACGGACCGGGACCCACGGGACCCACGGACAGACACGGATGGACCCACGGATGGAGCGGGACCCACGGACAGAGACACAGACGGACCCACGGACAGAGACACGGACGGACCCACAGACAGACCGGGACCCACGGACGGACTGGGACCCACGGACAGACCGGGACCCACGGACGGACCGGGACCCACGGACAGACACGGATGGACCGTGACCCACGGGACACACGGACAGAGACACGGATGGACCGGGACCCACGGGACCCACGGACGGAGCGGGACCCACGGACAGACACGGATGGACCGGGACCCACGGGACCCACGGATGGAGCGGGACCCACGGACAGAGACATGGATGGACCAATGGACAGACCGGGACCCACGGACAGACACGGACGGACCCACGGACAGACCGGGACCCACGGGACCCACGGACAGACCGACAGACAGAGACACGGACAGACCCTGACCCACAGACAGAGCCACGGACAGACCCACAGATGGGATCCATGGACAGACCTGGACCCAGAGCGGGACACACAGACAGATCCACAGATGGACCCACAGCTGGGGCCCATGGACAGACTCACGGACAGACCCA